GGTAGATTTCGGAAGGGTTTCAAAATCGAGGCTCCCAGAAACGTATGAAAGACATTGGCGTTGCAACCCGACGTCTCCAAGAAGTCTGTGCGCGCTCTTGCGAATTCGTAAAAGAACTATCGGTTCTTTCCAAATTTCCAACGAATCCGACAAAGCGGGCCTCTCGCGCAGGAATGTCGAAGACAGTCGAATGACTTCGCGCGGGGCACGACCTTGTTACCATGCGGGCCACTCGCGCGCGTCGGCCGCGCGAACATGTTCAAATCGCTTCAAAACCTTCATCACCGACCCGTGGACGCCATCATCGTCACCGGTGTGATCAGAGTCGGCGCTGTCAGTGGCCTTGCAGTCGTCGCTGTCGTCATCGCCACCAGCATCGCTACTATCATCATCGTGTCTGACGTTGCCGATGTCGCCATGATACTGCGCCCACTCGAGGCACCGACTTGCACTGAAGTGCCCGTGCGTCAGCGCGGCCTGCGAGACGCGGTCGGAAGTGCCGAGCGGTCAGCGTCACCGCGTCCGCGTCGGGTGCGCCAAACTAGCTGGCCGCTCTGCGCGCGAGCCTGCGCGTGCTAGCGCGGCTGCAGCGATGCGCCAGCCAGCGCTAAGCAGTCATCGCAACTGCATGGGCTGTGCAAACCAAGTTGCGGGTGGGTGGGATGGCTGCGCGAACAGTGGAGTTGACAACTCACTGCGAATCAAACTTACTGGCACCACATAGACTGCAGAAAATAAATCGCACCACATAGGGTGCACAACGTAGATTGCGCACCACATGGGCTACACAGCATGGATCGCACAACATAGATTGCACAACATAGATCGCACACCATATATTGCACCAGATAGATTGGACCTCTTAGATTGCACCCCTAGCTTGCACAACATAGATTTGAACCGCATTGATCGCACCACACTTATAGCACAACCTATACGGCACCACATAGAATGCACAACATATGTTGCACCACATGTATTGCACCACGTAGATTGCACCACATTGATGGCACAACAGAAATTGCTAGAAGCACAGTGTGTGGGGGTCCGCGCTGGCCAACCTATATACGTACATGCGCGTGTGTGGTCTTCACTTCCTCTGCCTCTGCCTCTGCCCGTGCCTGTGCCCAGTTTCTTTCTCTCTGTCTCTTTCTGTCTCTCGGTTCTCTCTGATTATGTCCCCTTCTCGTTCTCTACATATCACTCTCTCCCTCTCTCTCTCTCTCTCTGTTATTTCTCTCTTTCTCTCTCTCTCTCTCTCTCTCTCTCTCTTTCTCTCTCTCTCTCTCTCTCTCTGTATGTCCCTGGTTCTCTGATTATGCCTCACATTCCCCCGTTGTCTCAGAATATCTCTCTCTCTCTCTTCATCTCTATCTCTCTCTCTCTCTCTCTCTGGTTCCCTTTCTCTCCCTCTCCTTCTCTCTCTTGCTCTATCACCCTCTCTCTCTCTGTCTCTGTCCCCCCCCTTCTCGGTCCCTATATATATATATATCCCTCTCCCTCTCTCTCTCTCTCTCTCTCTCCATTTCGCGGGCTCAGAAAACCGAACGCGGCCTCTCAAACTCAGACGTACACGCTCGCTCATACCCAGGCCCAGTCGCTGCCGGATTCATTCACGCTCAGACCTACTCACATTCAGACCAATTCGTAATCAACCATTCGTTTTCAACCATTCATGACGAGCCAGACATTGTCAAACTCACTCACAACAGTGCCCAGACCCACTCGCTCTCTGACCCACTAACACCCGAGTCCATTCTTAATCATACTCACTTGTCTCCAAGGCCACCCATACGCGGGCCGACTCAAACTCAGACCCAATCATATAAAGACGCTCATACTCAGACACATTCACAATCAGGCTTACCCGCACCCAGTCTACCATGCTAAATCTGGCTCAGACTCAGCCTGTTCACACTCAGGCCCACTCATGAAGGAGAGCAATTGGAAAGAGATGATCATAGGGGAATCTCCGCGCCGAAACAAAAAAATCGGCGTGGTCTTCTCGCCGCTTCGCTTCCAACGCCCCCAAGTGGCCCAACATAGCCCCACGACAGGCCAAGAAAGCGCCGAGACGGCCCCAAAGGACCCGCAAGAACACTCTCAGAGCGTCCCAAGAGGCGTTCAAGAGACAATGTCTTAGAAGCCCCGCCCTCCCTTGTTTGACCGATGGTATTCAGAATGGCTTCAAGAGGACCCGTAATGAGAGCCCCAACAGGGCACAACAGCCCAAAGACGGCGCCCAAGACGGGACAAGAAGGTCACAGAAGGCCGCCAAAATGGCCAACGAGCATCTCAAGAGGGCATTCGGCTGCTCACTCTGATTGGCCTTTCAAGGTTGTTCGTCCCAAGAGACCACAAGAGGCCCAGAGACTCCCCCCAAGTGGCCCCTCAAGCGCCCCGAGCGGTATCAAGATACCCTGAAGGTGGCGCGAGGAATTCCCAAGACAGCCACAGACCGCCCCAAGACGCCTGCAAGACCGCCCCAGATCGTCGAACTCCTTCCCGACATAGATGAGTGCAGTGACGCGCAGGTGGCACGGCCTCGGCGCTCACCAGCAGGCGTGCGCGTGTTTGTGTTGGAAGGCTGGCTCTTGCGATAGTGCGCGAAGCGGCCACTTCGGCGGTGCAGCGCCCATCGCCACAGATGGAACCAAAGCATGCCAAAGAACTGCGGCATCGCAGGTGGAATTGAGCGCATGTTCGCTCGGACAGGGGGCGCCTGTCCTTCTGCACCACCTGTATTGGAGCAGTTCAATACCGCGCAGCCCGCCGAAACTTTGACAGCGATGAGCCTCGTATCGCCACGAGCAAATCGGACAGGAGAAAATGTCTTACTGGCTAAAAACTTCGGAATCGGCGACGCTGCATATCTGTCGCCTGCCCGTTGCGGGGGGGGGCCAAAAGGCGCAGTGAAACATGCAAGCGGGAAGCCTAGTACATGGCCGTTGGAACTACAACAAGCACAAAGAAGCGGAATCCCACCAGCCCTTTGGGCTGGGGTGGTCTACGTAGAGCGCGTCCTCTCTTAACCCCCTTCCTCCCCGTCGGGGATGTATGTATCCGTCCCCCATACCCCCTCTCCCTGGGTCGAGACAGCGGTTTCGCGACCAGTTTGAGCGCCCAAGATCGCCTAAGAAAGCCAAAAATAACCTCCAAAATGGCTCACAATTTTTACCCGAAGGTGGCGCCAGACGGCCTCCGAATGGCCTCCAAGAAGCCCAACGAATGCCTCAAGACGGCCCCGAGGCCCACGGAGCCTGCCAAACAAGCCACAATCCTCTTACCATCGAACGAAAACCAATGGTTTGGGCATGCTCGCCTTTTCGCTTCCACCGGGCTTCTGACACCTCAGGAGGATCCCAAGATGCCCCAAGAGAGCACCAAGAGAGGCAAAAGATGGCTCAAAGACGGCCTAAGAGCGACCTGAGAAGGCCCCAAGAGGCGATGCTGGGGGCTCCCGAGAGGCGGGCCTGACAAGGACCCCCCTTGTTCAAAGCCAGAATCACTTCGACACGATATACTGATTTGATTTGGGCATATCGGGGGGTATCCCCGGGGGGCGTCGGGAACAACACGGCTCCAAGATAGCTCCAGATCGTAGCCTCCAAGATGGCGCAAGGTGGCACAGGGTGGCCCAAGATATCCTCCAAGATGCCTCCAAGTGGCCCCAAGGCCGCCCCAAACAGGCTCCCACATCGAAAGACCCGAGAAGGCATTGACGGTTGACTCCTGGGTCGCTGCACCCTCTTTGCTCCACTGCTCGTTCCTACACACTCCTGATCATCCGCCGACCCCTTGTGGGTCTCTAGGCGTGTGAGATTGTTCCCCCCCATAAGCCCCCCCCGGAACCCCAAACCGGCAATTTGACCCCCCCCCTCGTCGGATCCGACCCACCCCCGAATGGCCTCCAAACACAAACATCGACAAACTCCCTTCCTTTGCATTACCCCCTCCTCTTCCTGTTCCTCCTGACGGCACCGCGCACTCGCGCGATGCCACAAGCGCTGCCACGGGTCTCACGCGCAGGCTTTGCACTTCAGCGTGCGGTTTTGGTGGGCACGCGCGAAATGCGGCCCACCCGCGAACTGAGATGTTGGGAGCTTCCTCTTGCAAGCGACGAAGACTATTCCTCTTGCATGCGCCGAAGTTTGGGAGGTGATCTCTTCGCTTGATGGACTTTCCCTTTTTTCAGCGTTTCAGAACATGGTCGCCTTTTGCTCTCTTCCAAACGGCGCGAGAAGACCCAAAGATCGCATCCACATTGCCCAGGACGCTTCCAGGAAGCGCCCAAGACAACCCAAGACGCACCCAGGACAGCCGCAAGAGAGCTCAATCAGAGGCCCAACCAGAAACGCGAACCGAAAATACCAAGAGTCTAGCCCAAGAGAGCTCGAAGAGGCCGCACTGACAACCCGAGGGAGACCCGAGTGCCCAGGAGAGCGACCCAAAATAGTGAGTCTCCAGTGCCCGAAAGAGTGTCCCGACATCCCCTACGGGATTCTGAGTTGGCACCCATACCGAATCAAGGGGTCGGCGGATGTGGCGTAAGCCTGAAGAATCACTGTAACTCGACTGGGCATTATTTCTCTTCCTCCTCCTCCTCCTCCTCCTCCTCCTCCTCCTCCTCCTCCTCCTCCTTACGACTGACACCTTGGTGACGACTTTGCATGCGATCTGCCAGCATCCCATCGACATCCTCCGCTCAGCTTTTCCCGCCGCCCCGCCCCCCCCCCACGCCCCCGATGAATCTGCCAGCCACCCCACCATCACCAGCTTCCCCTCCTCCTCCCCCTCAAGACTCGAACAGGCAGCCGCGAGCTTTGACATGAGCCAGGCGGTTGAAGTCGGGCGGGTTGGGGAAGACGCCCTCGAGCTCCTCCACACCAACCATCCGCACCTCCAAAACCAGCTCCATCACCAGCTGGTCCTCCCCGTCCTCCTCCTCCTCATCCTCCTCCTCCTCCTCCTCCTCCTCCTCCTCCTCCAAGTGATCCCACTCAGGACTTGAACAGGGAGCCGCGACTGATGATGTCCGCCGAGCGATTGAAGTTGGGCAGATTGGGGAAGACAGCTTCGAGCTCCTCCAGAAGAAGAAAATACACAAACGTGAGCTTTCGGAATTCCGCACGGATTTCTTGGGTCGGCGCTGCGCCCCCTTCTCCACACCCCTTCTCCGGCGCGCGGAGTGTGCCAGCGGCTGCGCCGGGGGCGCCACCAAGGGTAGTGAAGAGGGCGGTCCAGCACCGACCCAAGAAACCAGCACGGACTTCCAAAAGTTTCTGCGCATGTTTTTGTTTGCTGCTTTGCGATCCCCCACGGAACCACGAAGTGAGCGGTAGCAAAGGGGTGACAGGGAATCGAATCAGCTCCATGCGGCCAGCTTTGATGGCGCCTGGAAGCGCCGACAGAGCGACCACGCATCGATGGGACGTGCCTGGCGGCGGGGCCGAAATTAGCGGCATGCAGCAGTCTCCGTGCCCCCCCCACTTCCTGGCCACCCCCCCTCTCGTCCGCCTGGTCCTCCACGCCCATCCACTCCGCGATCGGAACCATGACGCTCTCCCACGGGTACCGCGGGATCACGCGGCCGCGCCCGGCGTCGTACGCGGAGTCTGGCGCGTACGTCTGCAGGAACCTGTTGAAGATCTGGCCTCCGTTGATGCCGCCGCCGAGGATGACATGGTTTCCGGCCCAGCCTCAGAGGAAAATACCAATATACCGCTGCCCTTCCCTTGTTCCCGCCTTCCTGGGCCTCCTGGGAGGCCCTCGTCGCCACGGCATTCACCTCGGAATCCTCGTCAGAGCATGCCCCGGGAGAGGTCCAGGGAGTAGCGGCATCGGTACCTTCGTCCTCCCCAGCAGCCATGGTCTGTCCCACCGCCATTCGACGTCAGCGTGCGGCCGAAGTCGGAGTGCGTCACGATAACCACATCGTCGAAGACGCCCTGCTGGGTGAGCTCCCCAACAAAGTCCCTGAGCGCGCCGTCGATCTCCTCGAATCTCTCCGAGAGCGTCGCGTCCTGGGAACCGTGCGTATCGAATCCCCCGATCTGCACGAAAAAGAAATCGCGCTCCGCAAGGCGGAGGCTCCGCGCCTTGATCAGCAGGGCAACCTTGTGCAGCTGCTGAGCCAGGGTTGTCTTCGCCTCGTAGGTGGCCGCCGTCTCGAGTTCCACGTTCTCCAGGATGGCGCCGAGTGCCTCGCTGCTGCGGATGTGGTCGGCGAACGCCCGCGTGTACTCCTCGCAGTACATGCTGCCGTACTTCTGCTTGGAGATGCCGCTGATCGTGCTGTTCCAGACCTGGTACTTGTTGAAGCGGATGGCACCGTCCGTTCTGTCGATGATGTCGGCGGCGGTGCTGAAGCCCCCGGACCAAGTGACGATGCCCATGGTCGAGAAGGAAGCGACATCCTTGCCGTGCGAGGCGGCGAGAACGTCCGCCATCCTCCCGCCGCCGCCCCTCGGTGCGGCGCCAGGGACCTGGCACTTGAGCGTGTGCGCCGCAATCTGCTGGTGCGAGTGGGAGAAGAGACCCAAACAGGTCTTGGCACCTGGGAGACGAAAAATCTGCGTAAACGTTGATTCCCCAGGTCCGTGCGGATTTCTTGGATCAGCGCTGACCCCCCCTCTCTGGCGCGCCGAGTGCACCAGGAGAGGCGCCGCCAAGGGGCGTCCAGCGCCGATCCAAGGAGTCCGCGCGGACCTCCGAGAAAAGATGCTTGTGCCGTGTCTCCTTCTTCGGGCACCGCCGGTCTTGCGCCCGAAGGTCTCCTTCGTGACGGGCTCCACGAGGGCGCCGACGCTGCTGACGAAGGCCGCCTGCTTCCTCGTCTCGTACAGCTCCCTGAGGAACGGCAGCGCGGGGTGGATGCCGAACTGGCCGCAGGGCTGCTCGCTCGAGGCCGTCACGGGCAGGAGGCTGCCCTCGGCGATGGCCATACTCGTCCGCACGGCCGCGTACTCCCCGTAGAGGCTGCACCCGATCGGGACGAGCAAGTTGTACGTGTCGGCGCCGCCGTGCAGGAACAGCATCACCAGCGCCCGGTACGAGTCCCGCGCGCCGGACGGCGGCGGCGGGCCCTCCGCGGAGCGCTCGCCCTCGTGCTGCGGCGCCCCGAGGGTCTGGAACTCGGGCGTGAGCACCACGGCCTGCTGAGCCCCGAGCAGGCCGTGCCCCTCGTACGCCGCCCGGACCAGCTCCCTGCTCGCTGGCGCCAGGCGCCCGCCCGTGAGCAGGACGTCCAGCTCCCTCACGACGCTCTCCGCGACGTCGGGCGCGACGGGGGCGAAGCTGAGGCTGCCCTGGCGGCACTCCTTGCCGTGGCCAGTACTGCCGAGGCCATCCTCGCACTTGCTGACGCCGTGGTCGAGCAGGGAGGCCACGCCGTTGAGGAACCCGATGGCGAAGGGTGGCGTGAAGATCTGGAACTCTGGGGCCACCAGCGTCTCTGGCTCGGGCTCCGGCTCGGACTCGGGCTCCGACATCATCGCGGCATCGGCGAAGCTCGGCGGCTGGTACATGTGGTCGTAGAAGTTGAAGACGGTCGGGGACCTGTACGGGAACTGCCCGATCACCTCGTCCAGGTTCTCGAGAACCACCTCCTGGCTGGCCACGTCCACATACTCCATAGACCGCATGAGATGCACCAACTTCAGAATCGGCTCGCGCAGCAACCCGGCCGTGTTCGAGTCGGACGACCGTGCCTGGAAGAGAGAAGCAACGGCATAAACATTAAACTTCTGGAGGTCTGCACGGATTTCTTGGATCGGCGCTGGACCCCTTCCTTGGCGCGTGGAGCGCTCCAGGGGCGGTGCTAGAGACGCCGTCAGGGGGGCCCAGCGCCGATCCAAGCCTTCCTTGGCGCGTGGAGCGCTCCAGGGGCGGCGCTCGAGACGCCGCCAGGGGGGCCCAGCGCCGATCCAAGAAATCCGCGCGGACCTCTGAAAGTGTATGTTCATGCAACGTGGCTTCTTCGAGCGCCTCTGGGTGGAGCAAGATGGCGGCGATCGCGGCGCCGAGGTCGCCGACCTCGCCAGAGTACGTCACGCCGTCGTGAGAGCCAGTGGTGAAGGCCCGCGCCACCGACTCCAAGTACGGCGGCGACGGGTTGGATGTGACGAAGCGCTGGATGAGCTTCTTGCTGATGATCGAATAAGAGAAAACGGCATGTACATATAAACTTTCGGAGGTCCGCGCGGATTCCTTGGATCGGCGATGGGCCCCCCTTCTGTGGCGCGCGGAGCACACCAGTGGCTGCGCTGGAGACGCCGCCAGCGGGGGTCCAGCGCGCCACAGACTGGGGCCCAGCGCCAACCCAGAAATTCTGCGCGGACCTCCGAAAGTTCATGCGACGTCGCTTTTACTTCTTCGAGATGAACACGGGGGTGTTGGGGTGATGGAGCAGATGGTCCAGCAGGCTGTCGACCTCCGCCCTCACCTTGGCACTGGGGAGAAGGGGTCCTGAGGAAAACGGGTCCTGGACCCTTGGGGTGGGGATCTCCCTGGGACCGGCTTTCGCTCCGAGCCGCTTTGTGGACTGCCCCCAGGGCCTGACACGGGCCAAGGCAGGTCGGAACCTCTGAAAAACTCCAGGGCCCCTTCCCCTCGGGACCCCTTTCCCGAGCAGATGGCGATGAGGTCATGTCAATGCGCTGGCCCAAAAGGTCCCGACCTCCTCCCGAGGGGGCACTTTTGGATCCCCGATCCGTTTCTGCTTGCCCTGGGGCCCGAGGGCGGGCCCCAGAGGCCGAGGTTGAGGAAGAACGCTGGCAGCGAAAACAAACAGATCGTCGGAGATCTGAGCCTTCTTCATGCGTGGGCCTGCTTTCCACCGCCACCACCATGGGCAGCAGGGGCAGGGGGGACTCCTCCTCCTCCTCCTCCTCCTCCTCCTCCTCCTCCTCCTCCTCCTCCTCCTCCTCCTCCTCCTCCTCCTCCTCCTCCTCCTCCTCCTCCTCCTCCTCCTCCTCCCCCTCCCCGTCCAACTTATGGTGGTGGTGGTGGTGGAAAACGGGCCCATCATTCGTGGTGATCACCGCTCGTTCGAGCGCCCTGCCGTACTGCCTCAGCGGCCCCGGGCCCACGAAGACCGGCGGGTTGCGGAAGGAGGCCGGTCCCAAGTCCACGACGCTCTGCCCGTTCCTGTAGAAGCGCCCGCCAACCTCGAAGACGGTGTCCACGTCCGGGGGCGAAGACCCCCAAACCTATGAGGGGGGACGATTCAGGGAGGGGGGGGGGACCAGCTTGGAGGGGAGGGACATCGAGCTTGCACCTCGATTCGTCGCCGACCGATCAGCGGCAGGCCCCCGATAGCGAGAGCGCACCTTCCTGCGCGGGGTGGGGCGCCCCGGCCCCTCTCGGCGATGGATGGGCGCGTGCGGGGTCGACGTCTCACCCTCCCGTGAGCCCGTCCCTCCCTCACCGCTGCCCCCCAGCCTTGACGTCGCCGCCGCAGGGCTGCACACACTCGGCGCCCGGCGGCGGGCCGAGCGCGGTGACCTTCAGGGTGGCGAGCACGTCGGCGCTGGAGGGGGTCGTGCCGAACACGGCGGCGGCCCCCACCGTGGCGTTGTAGCTGCCCGCCGGAGCGCGGCCGGGGCCGATCCAGCTCACGAGGAAGCGGTTGTGCTGGAGGTCTTCCGTGTGGGCGCTGACGGAGCCGTCCTCGTGCACCTGGACTGGCGCGTCCGTGGTGTACCTCTCCTGGAAGAAGAACGGGTGGACGCACGCTGGCGGGACGAACTCGTAGTAGCCGCCCGCCGCCTTCAGGCAACCACACGTGAACCCTCAGTACCCCTGCAGGTCACCTTTCTGAAACGACTGGCGGGGTTCGGTCCGAAGGCTGTCTGCAGCCAGGTGCACCCCAGCGGGGCTGTCCGATACCCCAACCTCGATTGGGCCCGCAGGGGTAAGGTTCGAGAATGGTCGCAGAGCCTTGACGATGGACAGGCTGTCCAGCGAGCACTCGGCACCGCGGCAGGCGAGCGCGGACGCCAGCGTGCGGGAGGGCGCGGGTCTGCAGTCCCCGACGTCGCCGCCACATAGCGCCCGCAGCAGCTCGGAGCCGGGCTCGGGCTCGAAGACGCTGGCCTCGCAGTCGCCGGGCGGACCGGCGGTCGCATGCTGGCGGTAGACCGGCCAGGCGGCGCCGTCCTGGAGGTGGCAGCTCTCGGAACCGACGAGGGTGAAGTGGGCGCAGCCGGCCACCGAGGCGCACCTGGAGGAGGTCGGCAAAAGGCACAGGCACAGGCTTGCGGAGGTCCGCGCGAACACTTCTTGGATCGGCGCTGGATTCCCCCCTCCCTGGTGGGCGGAGACACGCAATCTTTCGGAGGTCCGCGCGGACCTATCGGATCGTCGCTGGATTCCCCCCCCCCTGGCGCGCGAAACGCGCCAGTGGTGGGGCCTGATGCGCCGCCAAGGGCGGCCCAGCGCAGATGTCAGAAATCCGCGCGGACCTCCGCCGTCATTTCTTCTTCGAGCACCGCTGCTGGCAATCGGCGATCGACTCCACCTTCGTGACGCCCTGGCCGGGCATGTTGCGGGGATCGTACTCAGTGTCTTCCGAGGTGCAGTTCGGCACGGAGGAGCCGTGGAACTCGAAGCGGGCGCCGGGGAGCAGAAAGGGGCGCGATGGCAGCTCGCTGCACAGAGGCAGACCGTCCCCGAGGTAGCCACCGTACAGGTCCCGCTTGGGGAAGACGTCGTGGTGGCCTGCCCGCAAGCGCATGGGGTCGATTAAGTTCTGACCTCAGGAGGTCGGAAAGGGGTGTGGCATAAAGGGGTATGGTGCCAATTGTGGAAATGGCGATGTTATCTACGATAGATAACCTCGCCAGATCCAACAGTGGCACCACACCCATTTGCACCACACCCCTTTCCTACCTCCAGATGACCATTCCGCAGCTCGATGTTGTCCCGAGCCGGGGGGCGGACAAAGCCAGTGAAGACGCGCGCGAAGTTCATGATGTCGTCGTTGTCGTACGTCGGCTGGTCGACCCCCTGGTCGTCGACCTGCACGTGCCCGTCTGGCGTGAGCTTCGCCACGCCGATGGTGAAGAGCTGCATGATCTCGCGGGCGAAGTTCTCGTCCGGGTACGAGCGGCTGGCGCCCCAGCCGCTGGCGTCCCATGACCTGCTGCCTTCGAACGTCAGGTAGTCGCCCATGAGGGGCGAGAAGGTCACCTCCCGAAGGATGTTCCCGAAGCTGCCGAACGCGTTCCGCACGAAGATGTCGTAGTAGGCGACCCAGAGTTCGTTCCACTCGTCGTGAGCCGTACCCGAAGATCGGAGGAGGGCCAGAGGAAGCAGCGGCGGCTCTCCCGTCGGGCCCGAACCTGCTCAAAGCCTGGGTCCCCGGACCAAAGAATTGTTGTTTTTGGGACCAAAGAACCTTTGCTCCCCCAAAAAGACTCTTCGGTCCCCCCCCAAAAAAAACTCCCAGGGTCCACCCTGGCCCGTTTTTCGCTGCGCATGCAGCCGTGGGCGGCGGGAGGCCTCCAGGATGCCCCAGGAAGACGAAAAAAAACGCCAAGGAGGGCCGCCGGTGTGTCCGGTGGCCCACCTCCGAGAGGACCCGATCACGAAGATCTGCGACAGGGCCCACGCCATCCGCTGGCGCAGCTGGTCCTCCCCGCGCAGCACCCTTGCAAACCAGACCGTGCTCCTCCCGAGGCTGTTGTACAGAGGCACTCCTCGGGTGAAGCCGTCCGAGCCATACCTGTAAGACCCACAAGGGCACAAACACACACACACACACACACACACACACACACGCACGCACGCACGCACGCACGCACACACACACACACACAATGATTTTCTTCGACGCGCCAGTGAGTCCAAGCAGCAGAACACGATGGGGCGCAGCCTCAAAGCGAAGTATATTCCTTGTTCAACGACAGGAACATGCGTATGTCTGCATAGCTGAATGTATATAATATAGCCCGCCCCACCGCCACGAGTGCCAGAGCTGAGACCGAGAGGACCAACGCAGCATGTAGAGAGGGCAGCGCTTGTTTTCATCTCGGTATGTGTAACCAACTGGAGCCAAGCGAAGCAGCTGCCGCTGCTGTCGAGAGCAGCCGGGATGCAAGCAGTGCGACGGAGCACAGAGGGACCAGACATATGAGGTCCACACAAGAAAGACACGGGGCTATATATATATATATATATATATATATACATATATACATCGATATACATTTATATATATATATATATAATCCAAAAACGGGCTGCAAGTAACGTTAGGGCGGCACGTGGGCGGGCGCACTTGAGCCCGAGGCCAGCGGCGCATGGCCTGACAAGTGCGGCACTCTGTGCTACAGGGCTCTGCTTCACGTTACAAAACTGGACAGCCCGCCCACCGCCACGAGAGCCAGAGCTGAGACCGACAGGACCAACGCAGCATGTAGAGAGGGCAGCGCTTGTTTTCATCTCGGCATGTGTAACCAACTGGAGCCAGGCGAAGCAGCTGCCGCTGCTGTCGAGAGCAGCCGGGATACAAGCAGTGCGGCGGAGCACAGAGGGGCCAGACAGGTGAGGTCCCATACCCCATAAGGCAGACATGGCCGAGTCAACATCTTTGACGCGGCCGAAAAGAGAAAACAGGCACGAAGATGTTCTGGATATCGTTAGCACGAGCATTTGCATATGAGACTGGCGAGGGCTTGCTGGGACCACTAATCCCCGCGTGTTTGATGACTTTGGCAAGAACATTGGCGAGGGCGGCAGGGTGCGCGGCCGCGAGCGCGGTGCACTTACAACCCGCGGGGCTTTGACCCGAAAGGATGACATGGTTGTTACCAGTGCGCGAACAGAGGCCGCGACGTCCACGACACTGGCGCGCGATGGGCTCGAGGGCACCTGTGCTCCAAGAAGCTATTCTGGTGCGTTTCTGCCAAGGAGCACCGAACTGGCACTGGTCTAAGTCGCGCGTTCGAGCTTGAGGAGCCCGCAGGAGGCAGATAGCCCTGCCATGCCACAGCAACGAGCTAGCTGGGTTCTCCAGCAGAACGGGTATACGCAGACTATTGCAAAGGCGAATGACACTGCCCGTAAAAGTAAAAGGGGGCGCTGCCTGCCCGCAGTCGGGCGGACTCAGAAGCACTCAGGCACCCAATGCCCATCGGCTGGTCGCGCGACCTCAAGGGCCTCCTGAGGGCCCGCGACCACGTTGTGCACGGCGCCCCCATGAACGCGGCGCCGACGGCGCGGCTGCGCAGCCACCCAGCGACCGCCGCCTCGAATGCGGGGCGCAAGTGGTCTTCCAGCGGCGAGCGGGCGATGTCGAGGCCGAGCGCCGAGAGGCCCCGACGCCGCGCGGCCGCCGCGAGGTGGCCCGACCCGCAGAACAGCTCGAGCACGACGCGCCGCCACGACGCGCCGCCTGCAGAGCGACCCACGCTGCGCCGCCTCACGAAAACGGCGCTGCAGATGCAGCCGCGCCGCATCGCCACGCCCGCGAGCCGCCGGCTCGCCAACGGCGGCGGTGCTGGGCTTCACGCCCGAGCCGCGGGCCGCTGGCGCGCCCTCCTGCTTCCTGCCCCCGGGCCTGCCTGCATCGCCTCTGCGAGCCGCGGCGCCACCAGGCGCGCGATGTTCGCCCAGGCGAAGCCCTTCGCGAGCAGCGCGCAGAAGTGCTGCACCACGAGGATGTCGTAGACGAAGACGTCGTCCGCGACTCTCTGGAGCTGCCGAAGAAGGGTCGTCTCCTTCGCGTACCGCCGCATCGAAGACATGACCGCCCAGCGACCGCGGCGAGACACCTGCTCCAACGATCGCCTCCGCGGCCAGGTCGTCGCCGACGCTGCCGCGCCGCATCCCGCACCAGTGCGGGCGGAGATGGCTGGTCCCCAGCGCCGCGGCGGCCAGCGCAAGCCCTTGGTTCAGCTGGGCCGAGTTGAAGCTCCAGAGCGGTGTCCCTGTGCGCCCATTCAGGTGGAGGGCAATGAGTAAGGGCACGAGGTAGAAGTCCAGGTCGAAGAGGATCGACTCGTCGAAGTGCCGCGTCTTGCCTGCCTGCATCGCTCGAGATGCCCGAGGCAGGAGCGCGCCAGCTTGCCTCGGGAGCCCCGGGGATAAGTGGGAGATCGCCGCAGTCGTCTGTGAGCCGGCGTTCGCTGCAATCCCCTCCAGGTATCGCGTCGCGAAGTATTCTGCCAGGATGGTATCCAGCTGGGCGAGGGAGCTCCAGTCCAGGCGGAGGCTCGAACAGTAGCCCACGAAACTGTGGAGGAGGTGGCGGTAGAAAATCTCCGCGTTCGGCTGCACCGCCGACTGCTCCAACAGGGTCATCCCCGCGGAGATGGCGCGGCCGCTCGCGGCACGCGCGGCCAGCTGCGCCCGCTGCCTCGTCCTCGCCGAGGGCGGGCGGGCTCCGCGTCGCGGCGCGCCCAGCACCGTGGCCGCCAGCGCGAGGGCCAGGAGCCCCAGGCGCCGCCGACCGGGCGCGGGCGCGAGCATGGCTGAGCACCCGGCGCCCGCTAAACCACCCGAGCCGGCCGCGGCTGAGGGGGTCTGACGGGCCCCTTTCTGAGGCTATCCATCGGACGCTGAGCTTGGACCCCGTTGCCAGTGACAGCGAGTACAACTGATTGAGACAAGACCTCAAGCACCTCGATCGGGCTCTTCCCTTTGCACAAGAAAGGGCCAACAGCAGCTTGTCAACTAACGCAACCATTCGTCCCCCATGGCTGGAGAGATTACGAAGCAGATGCCTGTGCGACGCGACGAGCGCCTCGCCCTGCAGATACAGGATGTTGGCCCCAAGAGACACCGACTGGGCACAGGCGCTCTTCCACGCAGATTCCCTCGTTAATGTGCGGGCACCTCGTCGAGTACCCAGGGGCCCACCGCTGGCTGCGGTGTTGAGCTCTGTAGGGGCCCGCGAAAACATACCGAGATCCCCCTAGCCTCCTGAAAATGCCATGGCGGGGCCCATGTACTGAGAAGCGCAAACGCTCAAGACGTCCTCATCCGAGACGTGCACATCCTTGCCCAAGATGTCCTCGTCAGCAACCTCCCCGAAGTCCCCCAAGACGCCATTCGGGCCCATGGTGGGCGGCGGAGGCCAAGACGCGAGAGCTGCCGCAGATTGATCATACAAGGGTCGCTCAAAATGAGACACGTCAGCAAGATAGACCCCCCCCCCCCCCCCCCCCGCATGGCGCGAAGGGTGATCCGACGAAAAACTCTGGGCACACCTCGGAGAAGAAACGAAGCTCTGAACAGCATAGTCCGACGATCGAGTCGGAGGGAGGAGAGCCGCTTTGTTCGGGTCTCCCCGCTCGGCACCCAGACCTCCTGCCTGAAGCGAGCGCAGCCGAGCCTGATGGCCGCCCTCGACGTGGTAGCGCCACCTCCCAGAGCTGCGTCCGAGCGCCGCGCAGGCGGCCGCGGGGGCCCGCCTCCGCATGACTCCGAGGCCGAACGGGGAGGCGTCGCTGGCCGCCAGGACGCTGCGCCACTCCGCCGACACGTCACACGTCAGGACGGGCAGCAGGTCCCCGATCACGGTGAGATCCTGAGATACTGCTGGCCAGATCTTGCCGTGCCTCTCCCCATATGCTGCCACAAAGCCGTAGGCGCTGCGGAGGACGGTCAGCACCTCACGACGGATCATAGACGACCAGGTGATATGCCCAGGAACAGCACAAAGCACGTGGCCGCTGCACCACCCACAAAACAGAAGACCCGAGATAGCGAAATACAGCCTGCATATGTTGCGAGGCACGATGCGCAAAAAAAACCTCCCCTGCCTCAGGCTGAGGCCCAGAAAGTCGGCGTCGAGTGAGGCGGGTTCGATCTCATGGACAGGTAGCCCTCGTCGCCTGAACATGGCCACCACGCGGCGCGCGGTGTCATCGACCATGGACTTGCCCCCGCCGAACACGAGGATGTTGTCGACGTAAGCGCCGACGCCCACTGAACCACGCGTGGTGACGTCCACGCCGGGCTGGCCGTCCTGCGCCGCCATAGCCGCGCCGCGGCCGTCCTCGGCCAGCACGGCGCGGGCTGCTGACTGGCATGGATGCAGCGCCAACGAGAAGCCCATCGGCAGCACCACGACCCTGGGCGACACGCTGATGGAGGGGTCGAAGTCGAGGTCAAAGAGCCCCAGCACCTGGAGCACGCCCGCTCTGATGGACGGCAGCGCGAACATCTCCTCCATCCCCTCGCGCAGCTTCACGTGGTAGAAGGCGCACTCTAAATCGAATGTGGACACGTACACGCCGCCCGACGGCGCCTCGATTGAGCCGAAGGATGCCGCTGAAGGCAGTCTCGTACGAGGGGGGGCCAAAAAACTTGCAGTTGGCGGCCCTCGTATCGAAGATGATGCGGAGGGCACCCATCTTCTTTGGGACAAAGAAGAGGCCGACGGTGCGCGGCTGGCCCTTGTCAACAGCGAAGGCCACCATCTGCCTCTGGAACATCTGTATCAAAACTGGCCGCACGTGCTCACATCGCGAGTCAAAGCAAGATCGCAGCACGGCCCCTTGGGACAAGCTGATTATGCCAGGGACTCTGCAGCACACCGAGCTCGAAACATATGACTCCGCCAGTCCCCCAGCCAGGCCATGTCCGCGGGCTGCACCAAGTCCATGATG